TCCTAGTGTCTTGTTGAGTTTCCCAGCTGGATCCCAGAAGCTGAGCAGCCCAAACAGGTTCCAGTGTCTTTTCTGTTGTTGGGTTGCCCTCCTCCGGCTGGAGTGTGAAATTTTGTAACCAGTTATGTAGTTATTCCAACACTGAGGTCTACTTTTAAGCATATCTAAGAAATGCTCCCAGCACTACTACATCTGTTATTTTAGTCTTTGGTACTAGTGCCTTTATTTTAGGAGACTGGGTGGCAGTGCTTCTTTCAGGCTCACTTTTCAAGTAATCCTGAACTTGGGAGTTCCAGCCGCGAATTGGGTGTGTAGCACAGCATTAGGAAGTAGATGGTACTGATTCTGGTTCACCCTGTCGGGACACCTGTTGGCATGTCGTAGAATGCTTCAGATTTGGTACAGTGGAGGACAGTCCAAGTACTGGCATCCCTCGAATTCTAATATTTATTGAATTTTTCATAAAAGCAAGGTTACATATTGAGGTTCTATTACTAGAATCCCACTTCATATTTTTAAAAATTATAAAAATTAAGGAAGGGGAACAGTCATATATACAATACATGTTTTTAATATGTATTCACTAAATGTGTGAATCTAAACACCTAATATAAAAGCTATAACATAAATGTACATTTGTTGGGGGAGGGTTCTGCCTGGGCTGTAATTGCTGCTTTTTTGTTTTCCTGGGTTTGGGTTTTTTTTGAAGGCTCTGAATGTTGGGCATTAGTAGTAAAACCTATTTTGTTGAAAGATTGCTTATGATTACTTTAAAGACTTTATGATTTTTCTGATATAGAAGTACTGTGATACCCATTATAGAAATTTTTTAAAAATTAAAAAAAATTAAATCCTGCCCTGGCCAGTTTGGCTCAGCAGTTAGAGCGTCAGCCTGCGGTCCAGAGAGACCTCGGCTTGGTTCCCACTAAGGGCATGTACCTTGGTTGCAGTTTGTCCGCGGCCCTGGTTGGGTCGTGTTGGTGGCAACCACTTGATGTGTTCCTTTCACATCAATGTTTCTCTCTCCACCCCACCCCCCCACTCTATCTGAACAAAAAAACGAAAAAATGTCCTCGGGTGAGGATTTAAAAAAAAAAATTCTAGTTCTATAATTCAGAAATGTCACTGTTAATGTTATGTCCTTTTTTCTTCATTGTGAGTATGTGTATAGTGTTGGGGTCGTGGGGGGTGAGACTTGATATTTCAAGTTCTATCAAGCCAGAGCCATGGAAATTAATATGCATGTTAGAAGTTAGCATACTCAAGTTTCTAAATGCCTTAGATTTAGATTATCTGCAACTTCTATTCCCTCATCTTCAACTTATATAAGCTATTTATGAATCCTTTCTATGATGTCTACCTTTATTATCAATATAATTTCATATAACAAACAGCCATGTAGATTTTTATCTGTTTGGCTCTTTAATGAGACTGCTGGAGTTTTCCTGCTCTAGATTATCCAAATCCAGGATAACCAAACTGAAAAGTGCTGCTTAAAGTTTGAAAACATGCTTGGAAGGCCAGTCACAACATGTAAGATTTACTAATTTATGTAGCTGTCTTTCAGAATATATTTAATGAGTGCCAATTATGATAGACTACTTCTATTGTCTGTTTACTTATTTTCCATCTCCCCCACTGACTGAAGAGCTCTGTGAGGGTAGGGGTTTATGTGTCTTACTCATCACTGCAGCCTAGCTCCAAGCCCATAGCGAATATTTAGTAAATGTTAAATGAATGGACTTCACTTTTTTGGTAGATGAAGAAAATAGAAGTAATTATGTTTACTACAGATATTTTTGGTATTCTAATATATCGACTGACTGAAATATTTGGAATATTTAAAATTTAAAAGGAAAAAATACTTTTAAACACTTTTTGTATCATTTATTATGATTTCATATTTTTCCTCAATTTCTTATCAGCAACACATATGTCATCAAAATAAGTACTTCTCTAAGAATGTATGTTAATTTTAGTCTAATCTCTGTCATGCCACTTGCCTTTCTGTGAAAGCAAAAGGTAAAGGGCATTTAAAAACTTGAGTATGTCTTAAAATGGGATAAATGAAGCCCAAAATTACAGCACTAATTATATCAACATTTTATTTTGTGTGTGTGTGTGTTTTTTTTTTTATCTTCACCCAAGGATATTTTTCCACCTCTCTTCAGATAGAGTGGGAGGGAGGGAGAGAGAGAGAAACATCGATGCGAGAGGGACACATTGATTGGTTGCCTCCCACTCAACCCTGATCAGGGCCAGGGACCGAACCCATGACTCTTTGGTTCACAGTTTCTTGTGCTAAAAGTGTGGCTGTAACAACCAAAATAAAAAAATACTTATTGGTAATTTTATGGTAACCATATTTTCTTGGGTTGAACCTGTAGCCCTAAAGAACCAGAAACCCAAAGGAACCAATATTCCTGCTACACAGAGCCCCATCTTTAGTGAGGCTGTTTCTGGAGTGCATTTGATGACCAAGGTACAGGGCATGGCCACAGGTCTGGGCCCTAGGCCTCCACGGGAGCAGGTGGAGCCTGTGATTGTGAAAGTCGAGGAGGAGGAGAAAGAAAAGTGCTTTCCTAGCCTGGAGATATTCCGCCAGCGCTTCAGGCAGTTTGGATACCATGACACACCTGGACCCCGGGAGGCCCTGAGCCAGCTTCGGGTGCTCTGCTGTGAGTGGCTGAGGCCAGAGATCCACACCAAGGAACAGATCCTGGAGCTGCTGGTGCTGGAGCAATTCCTGACCATCCTGCCCCGGGAGCTGCAGGCCTGGGTACAGGAGCACTGTCCAGAGAGCGCTGAAGAGGCTGTCACTCTCCTAGAAGACCTGGAGCGAGAACTGGATGAACCAGGACAGCCGGTAGGCTGGGGGAAACCTTTGTTAATCCTCTGAGATTGGGAGCATACCATTCCAGGCAGGAATGGGTTTGTCCATACTATGAATATGAATGGAAGTTTCTGCTGAGTTAGACCATCTTTCCTCCTCTTTTTCCTATTCTACACTAGCTTTAGCCTTTAGAATCGAACAGAGGGTGTTTTTTTTTTCTTTTTTCTTAGAGATTCTACATAGCTCTCCTGAGATTTTCATTCATTCTAGTCCTTAAAGTGAGCTGTGCACAAAACCAGCCATTCCTAATTGTCTCTAGGTTTCGCATCCTCCAAATGAACAGAAACAAGTGTGGGAGAAGAGGTCCTCTTCAGAGAAGGCAAAGGAATCCCTGAGCACACAACCACAGTCTGTGGAGACAAGTCCCAAATATGAATCTTGGGGACCCCTGTATATCCAAGAGACTGGTGAAGAGCAGGATTTCACTCCAGATCTGAGACAGAATCAAGGTAGGAACCATCTGCCAGGCCCCCACTTGGTACCCCAGGCCTTTGTGGTTGAAGAAACAGACTAATTCTAATTATTGGTTGTGAGGTAACCCCCAAGATTAACTTGACTGATTTGGCTAACTAGGCAGAATGAGTTTTGTCCTCTCCCTCAGGTGGGATTCATTTGGGGTACTAGCATGGGAACAGATGTTATACTTTAATAAGGTAAGTTGAAGTGATTTTAATAAAGGGACTGTTTATGGCCGTGTGAACAGGTTGATTGAACCAATAAGAGATGGTGCTTGTTCACTTGTTAATGATTTGGTGAACCTGTTATAATCAGCTTTGGGTTATGTGAAAATGGTCCCTGATTAATTCTTTTTCAACCTCTGCCTCATTAGGCTACTCAAAAATTTTGAGTTACATACTTATATCCCACACATGGCATAGTTCATGGCAACTTGAAGGGAAGCCTGTATGAGTAGCCAAGTGATTGCTCATCATGGAGAGTGAAGAGATTTTAGCTCCAACTGCTGTAGTCATCAGCAGACAGTGAGTAGGGGTTGAGCCTGGAAGCAGCTAAGTGGTTACTGCTGGCAGAAGAGGGAAATAGATGGTCAGGAGACAGAGGGACACGGAAAAAGGGGTTAGAGGAAAGTACCTTGGTCGATTGGGGCTTCTGTACTCATGGAGGGATGACCATGCTCAAGAGGAGCCCATTTTTTCAGAAGAAACTTCTTACTCCCTATTTCCATGTATGGATAGTTAGATGGACTTTTAGCAGTGTGACTGCCTAGTGAAATGCTCTAAAAAGATGTACTGCTTCAGACTGGTTTCAACAGTGTTATTACAAGAATTACCAGACATAGCCATTGTAGATTAAATGATGAGTTGAACCCTGGTGGGAGTTAAGTGCTTTCATTCAAATTAAGAAGGATCTGGGTTTTGTAGAATAATTATAAATGGACTGAACATTCTCTTTTATTGCTTTTATATTCAGCTTCTGTGAGCAGATAGATTTTTCTGAGTTTGCCACTAGCCTCTTCTCCCTTAATTATTCTTTTTGTCCCTAATGAAATTTGACCCTTCAGCAATCTTTCTTAACTTGTTTCATTCTGCCTGAGCATCATCCATTCTCCCTTTGCTGTTATCCCAATATGCTTGGTTTTGCCTTATGCCCTCTATGAAGTTCTCCTCCTGGCAGAAAAAGCCATGTACTCTTCATACCATAATAGCTTCTGGTAGGGGCTTGTGTGAAAATCTGGTATTGTAAACTAGATTTGATGATGGCTCATTTATATCATTGTGATATTGTGACCTCTCATAGAGCAATATTTGGTTACTCTTCAAAACCCATCAATGTCACCTGATGATTCTCTTTGTCCTTTAACAGTTTCTTCTTGGAACAGGAAACAACTCACATGTCGTTATTCTACTTATTGTTTCAGATTGTAAGTTGAACACCCAGAATGAGGAATCAACATATATGCAGAAAAGTTCTGAAGAGTCTCATGCAGAAGAATTCAAAAAGGATATTACTCCCATGGTTATTGCCAATAAATTTGAGGCCAGGTTAGAAAGGCAGTGGGTAAACCTTGAAAAAGAAAAAGGAACAAAAATCCCTCTCCTAGACAAAGGTTCCAAGAAAGGTAGAGAATTAATGCCCACTAAACCTGCCCCAGGAGAGAGACGTTACATATGTGCTGAGTGTGGAAAAGCCTTTAGTAATAGCTCAAATCTTACTAAACACCGGAGAACACACACTGGTGAGAAACCCTATGTATGCACCAAATGTGGGAAAGCCTTCAGTCACAGCTCAAACCTTACCCTTCATTACAGAACACACTTGGTGGACCGGCCCTATGACTGTAAGTGTGGAAAAGCCTTCGGTCAGAGCTCAGATCTCCTTAAACATCAGCGAATGCACACTGAAGAGGCACCATATCAGTGTAAAGATTGTGGGAAAGCTTTCAGTGGTAAAGGCAGCCTCATTCGACACTATCGAATACACACTGGGGAGAAACCTTATCAATGTAATGAATGTGGGAAGAGCTTTAGTCAGCATGCAGGTCTTAGTTCTCATCAGAGACTCCACACTGGAGAAAAGCCATATAAATGTAAGGAGTGTGGAAAAGCCTTCAACCACAGCTCCAATTTTAATAAACATCATAGAATCCATACCGGGGAAAAGCCCTATTGGTGTAATAATTGTGGAAAAACCTTCTGTAGTAAGTCAAATCTTTCCAAACATCAGAGAGTCCACACTGGAGAGGGAGAAGTGCTTTAACTGTCAAGTATGCTCTCTGAGTGTTTTTTTGTTTTGTTTTTTAACTTTAGAATATGAGTGCTAGGGAGAAGCCAGGTAATTATAACAAACTTCAGTGGTAGATTTTGTTTCACGCAACATCGAAGGACACTAGAGGGGTGAGAGCGGTGGCACAGTAGGTAGGAAGGTCCTGGAGGGTGTGGTGGATTCTTCACTTGGCAGCTTAATGGGCAGGATCCCCTCACCACACTTCAGGTCCCATTAACAATGCCAGCATTGCCTTTTGTAGAGTTAAAATGATGTGTATTGAGTATAATTATGGAAAAAACATTATGACTGTTTAACTGTTTTAACATACATTTAAGAATCGTGATTTGTAAAGAATTGAGCCATTTGAACACAATCTAATCTCATACAGAATAAATTTAACATCTTGTAACACTTCAGGACTATTATAATAAATGGTATGTTGATCACTATTCTAAAGAGAAAAAATTATTCCTACTGGGTTAGCTTTTGGGAAATTTGGATTTGGGGTAAATAGAATATTTAGTACTTATAAATGAATATGTGTATTAGGAAATTGCAGTAGTGTGTAGAGTAGCTGCATCTTGGTCTAAATTGTGCTTTTTTCCCCTACATACTGAGCCCCCCCCCCCTTTTTTTAATCACTGAGAACACTTTGTCAACCTCCTGTGCATTTTGGGTGTGTATATTCTGTCTCTGCCAAAGTCTGTGAAAATTTGATTCTCCCTGAGCAGCTTTCTTCTAAACTCCAGAAATCAGTAATATACAATTTGATTACCTTAAATCTGTCCCATCTTTTCCTTCTGACTGCAGTCTTTTTGATTTCTTAAGGTGCTTCTCTCCACCTTATAAAAAGTCATTTGGCCATTAGGTCCTCCTGTTACCTAGAAACCCAACTACTTCACTCCTTCCTCTTATCACTTGCTTATCTTAATATTCTGAGGTTTTTTTTTTCACCTCTTACTAGTAGTCACTAGTGTCTACTGCTGCAGCCATAGTGTACAGGCAAACCCGATATGCCAGGATTAGAGACAGCAAGAAAGTGTCATGTCTAGTACCAGTTCTGTCTGATCTCTGGGAACTGCCTGTATGCCATCCTGGGATCAAATTAAACTACAGGTAGCAAGTCTTTATGCACCAGCCAAATGTATTAGGGAAGGAGTTGTTACTGAAAAGAAAAAAAAAGTTAATTGTGCTTAAAATATGAAATGTTCTTACTTGTTCCAGTAGCTTGCTGATGATCTGGGTGTCCTGCCAGCATCTTAACTCATGTGAGCTCTTCCGTTTATATATAATCATAATTGAAGACCACAGAGAATTTAGTGATTAGGCAGAAGAAGTTGATTATCGGTAGCCTCCTGGAGCTAATTCACGTGAGGAAAATGAAGGAAGAGCCTGCTAAGCCTGAAGACCTGCCTCATCCTACTTTGGTGAGAGGTGAATGGGTCCCACCTCTGTACTGCCTCTTGTTCTCCTCATATGGACTGTGCAGTGTTTACTTTCCGAGGGGCATTGATGTATGACACAAATATCTACACACTAGGTTTTGGCTCCCATGGGTCCGTCCATTCTTAAGCTGAAGTCTTCCACAGATCTTGTCTTCAGACTTTCAACCTTATTCTTTGCAGGCCCCATGTCTAGACAAGCTGTTTGCAGCATCCTAGGAGGCCGTGATATCTTTATCTCAGGCCACTTGTCGCCACAAAGTTGGTGCCAGATAAACTGCTTACAGCTCTGCCCACCAGATTTCTCACACTGGCCCTAGGGCCACTCCTGAGGAAGGACATAGTGAAGCAACAATGCCTTCTGAGCCTGACCCCACTGTGAAACAGACTGCAGTTTATTCCACCAAGTCTAAGGGAGCCTTTAATGAGTCCACAGGTACAAGCAGAGGGAAGGGTCAGTTCAGCAAAGGCAGGTGATGGGTGAGAGCCTCCTGCTTACATAACCTGTGACTTCCTGACCTGCTCATGCCTGACCCCAAATGTGACATTTCCTTCATATGATGGATTGTTGCTGTGTCCACCCTATCTAATGACTTGGTGAATCAGAGAATACTCAGCTGTGATCAACAGCTCCAGTTACATGGTCACTTGGTGTCTCATGGTCAGTAGTATCCCAGGAGCTGCTTTTTTTTTTTTAAACAATTTTTTTTCCCTTTGTTGCTTTTCGAGAGAGAGAAACATCAATGAGTAAGAACGTTGATTGGTTGTCTCTTGCATGCCCCACACTGGGGATTGGGCCTGCACCCTGGTCATTTGCCCTGACTGGGAATGGAACCGGCGACCTCTTGGTGCATGGGTCGACGCTCAACCACTGAGTCACACCAGCTGGGCCAGGAGCTGCTTTTCAAACTAAAATATCCTTTGCTGCAGAAGGGATGTCCTTGCTCTATAATTCTGTTGGCACGCTCCTGTTGGGGCTTAAAGACCTCACAGAACATTTTCCACCTACCACAGATACCCCTAACACCATATGAATCTTACAGGTCATATGGCACTTTGGCTATATGATTCTGGGCCACATTTGAAAGTGTACATGTTTACCTCCAAAATCCAAGGAGGCTATCCAAACACTCTTTTTCTTAGTAGTGAGGGCAAGATGCAATACTTTGCTCCTTACCTTAGAATTTCCCAGCATGCCTCAGATATTTGGATCCTTAAAAACCGATATAGCCCTGTCCGGTTTGGCTCAGTGGTTAGAGTGTTGGCCCGTGGATCAGAGAGATCTGGGTTCGGTTCCTGCTATGGGCATGTACCTTAGTTACAGTTTGTCCCTGGTCCCGGTTGGGGTTGTGTGGGTGGCGACCAGTCGACGTGTCTCTCCCACATCAATGTTTCTCTCTCTTCCTCCCTCTCTCCTTCCCAGTCTATCTGAAAATGAGGATTAAAAAAAAAAAAACTGATATAGAAGGCCCTTGAATCTTTGTAGGGTTTATCTCCTATCCTCTGGTAATGTATGTTTTACTAAGGGATCCCAGTATACTTACTGCTTTTCTTTTCACCAGATCTGATTATTATGATGTCATCATTAGAATAATATTCCACAGAATATCCAGAAAATCAAGGTCCCTGTGTGAAGTAGCAAGAGGATTGATCAGGCCCAGGGATCAAGAAATTGAACATATTCTGTTCTCCTTCCCAATTAATTGTAAACTGCCTTTGACCCTCTTTATTGATGGGGATGGGAAGAATGCATTCACCAGATCACTAGGTGCATACCAAGAGCCATAGGCCATGTTGCTCTGTTCCAGTAAAGATAGTACAACAGTTGTGATTAAACTTAGGGCAGACAACAATCATCAACCACAATTCATCTGTTTTATACAGGAGAATTTAATTAAATCTTTGAGGGCAGGGCTAAGCGAGTCCATGCAGTATGCCCTATTCTGATTTACTCTCTTGCCTAGGTAAAAGGGAATTTCATGGATTCCACCTGGCCCTTTCTACTATAATGACTTAGGCTACATGTTAGGAACCAGTGTGCTAAACAGCCATCCCTCTGCTGAATTATATCCAACCCATTTATCTCAGGAACAGAACCAGGGGTGGATCTCTGGGCCCACTGAGATAGATTTGGGTCAGGACTCCATTTATCAGCTGACCTCTGTCTGGGTGGCAATGATGGGAGTTTTAGACCCTCTAGATGTGTGTCATCTCAGACACTGTATCCAGTAGCCTCAAAGGTCTGGGCATTCCCTTTCCCTAGTATACTACCCTAGTAAACAGCCACAAAACTCTTTGGGGAAATATTTATTGCATATAGTTGTGGAATTGTAAGTTTTTTCCTCAAAGAAACCAAATTCTCCCCTTCAATTGATGATTCTGGATCTGAGAACTGGCTCAGATCTGGAAAATTTCCCATTGCAATGATCTCAACCTTCTCACCAGGTCTTGATTTTTTTGTTTATACAAGTCAAGTATTACCCTGTTGACTTTCAATCCTTCCTAGGAACACCAGGAATTAGCCATTACCACAGATTACTGTGAGTCAAGATACCCTAGTTGCCATTCCAGCCTTGTTGCTCACCATATTAGTTTTCCTAGAAATCAGTCATCCCCATTGACACTAAGGCTCAGTTCCATGACAGCATCTCCTATGAATCCTAGCCTAGAGACAGCCACCACTGAACTTTCAGCAATATCTATGCTCCCCTCATTACTACCACTTATTGTCTTAGTGTACAGGGAGTTCTTTGGGCTCTCCGAGTAACATACTTGGGTTCTCTGGTTACTTGTAATAAATTCATTTGATCATGAGCCTGCTGCCTCTTTTCTCAATTCTCTACTAATTAGTTCCAGCATCTCTACATCATTTATTATGGGCCACCATTTATGTTCAAGTTTTAATAAGCCATCTAAGAAGTGTATTAAGATTGTATTAGTTTACTATTGTTGCTGTAACAAATTACCACAAACTTGGTGGCTTGAAACAACACAACTTTTATGATTTGTAGCTTAGAATTCCAACATGGGTCTCAATGGGCTACAATCAAGCTGGTAGCAGGGCTGTATCTCTTTGTGGAGTTTCTGGGAAGAATCTTATTCCTTGCCTTTTCCAGCCTCTAGAGCACATTCTTTGACTCATAGCCCTCATCTCCACTCCTTCCTCCATCTTTCAGGCCAGCAAAATTGCATCTCTCTAACCACGCGTAAGTAGTCACATTTCCCTCTGACTCTTCTGCCTGCCTCTTCCACTTATAAGGACCCTTTTGATTACATTGGAGCCATCTGAAGTAGTAAATAAGCCATTAAGAACTAATGCACAGCCCTGGCCGGTTTGGCTCAGCGGTTAGAGCGTCGGCCTGCGGTCCGGAGAGACCCGGGTTCGGTTCCCGCTAAGGGCACGTACTTCGGTTGCAGTTTGTCCCCGGCCCTGGTTGATCGGGTGGGTGGCAGCCACTCGATGTGTCCCTTCACATCGATGTTTCTCTCTCTCTCCCTTCCTCTCTCTCCCTCCCACTCTATCTGTACAAAAGATGGAAAAATATCCTCGGGTGAGGATAAAAAAAAATAATGCACAGAATAATGAATATAGTCAGTAACAGTGTACTATAATGATGTAATGTGAAAACAGCTTTGATGTCAGTCATATTACAATATATAAATGTATTACAATAATGCACTATACACATTAAATTTACAAATTGTAACATCAAATTTAGCTAATAAGTACTTCCAGTCAAGATGATGGCATAGGTAAACATAGTAAACATGGTATTTGCATCCTCCCACAACCACATCAAAATTACACGTAAACTGCAGAACAACCATCATTCAGAAATGCCTGAAAGCTGGCTGAATGGAAGTCCTACAACCAGGGAATTAAAGAAGGATCCACATTGAGACTGGTAGGAGGGGCAGAGATGTGGAATGAGCTGTACACTCACATATGATGGATAAAAATTGGGAGGGATA